ACCTAAACTGGGATTTAACTTCATTCGGTTTTACCAATGAACCTTAACGACATAAATATTCAAAAGCACTACTTCAATTGTCAGCACATGCGTTCTGATAAGACATAACCTCACATTTAAACTTTCAAACAATCAAAAATTTAGTTATTGCCGACAATTCAAAGAATTACTTCAAGAAAATCAATGTATTAATGTTTTTTTTTAATATCAACGTTTAACCCCCTATACGGGGTGTAAAATAAAGTTGTAATTTTTCATCGTTTTTTGCAATACCCTGTGGAATGTATTAGAGATAAACGGCATATAATTAATACTTTAAGATAGATTTATTCTTTCTCAAGATTTTTGTAAAAAAATTATCTGGATATCTCAATTATTAAAGATTATACAGAAATATAACAAGTTTTTATTAACATTTAAAGCAAAGAAAACATTACTCACATAAATTTTATTGACAATTAATGCAAATAAAGCCTAAGAAAATATAACTTAAATAATCTTGACCAATTCCCCTTTCCCAAAAATAGCTAATTGCGAGTATTTCTTTCTCTAGATCTAATTATTTCATCACAGCGACGTGGCATACTTAAAATCAAGCGACGTATTTGGTCTTGATCAATTGCATCCCAAACGTGGCCAGTTTATGGTATGTATACCAATGGTGTCAAAATATTCACGGACCACACGTGCAACATGTGGTCGAACGTTATCATCCAATAAAAGAAAATGATTTCCTATGTAAAATGAAACTACATGGTTAGACAAAATGTCTGTAATATATATTTCACTTGTTAAGGAACCTCTTCATGAAGCAACAAGGTCCGTTCGCGCTGTAAGAGATTTCCCTCCCCAAACCATTACCTCGATTCATCAGTAAACAATATGTGCTTCCAGTCACCAACATTCTAGTCAAGCTGCTCTCTGGGAAATTGTAATCTACTTTTACACTGATTTACGTTTAAAACTGGTACTCTGACTGGTATCTTTATGCAGATCTTGTTCAGAGAGACGCCTTTGTATGGTATTCTAGTAATTTGAATATTATAAACATTTGCCACTTGTATTTGTAAATGTCCCATTGTGAGAAAACGTTCTCTTATAGCACGTAATCTGAAAAACTGATCTTATCGTGGTGTTGTTAGTCTAGCTCTTCCTTGTCCATGCCTTATCATATGTTCGTTTGTTTATTAAAAACGTTGACTGACTCGTGATATTGTAGAATGAGATACTCCTAACCTCAAGCCTATTTCACCATAACTAAACCTTACATCAGCTAAAGTAATTGCCTAAACACATTCATCTCAGTTCAGATTTCTTGAAATACGGTCCATGTCAACTAACTAACATACGCAAAATAGCAAAACACATTTTTGAAATGTAAACAATATTGACAGTCTAAAACTGTACTATAAAATTGTTTGATTTTTCGTAGCCAATTAAATGCTTCCATTTATGAGTAATATAATTCAATAAAATCACGTTACGCTGTGAACGTAATTTTATTTTTTGATAATAAAGGTATCGACGATTTTTTTACGAAAGTGTTAAAAAAATTGAAGCTTTTACGAAATATTAATAAGTTTTAGCGTTTGCTTTTTATAAACTTTACAAAGTGTTGCAAAATAATATGAAAAATCCAATTTATTTTCAGACTTCGTATATGGGTGAAACGTTGATATTTCCCAAAAAAACATTGATACAGTAATTACTTAGAAATAGGTCTGCAATGCGAAAAAAATTTTTATTGAAATCTAATTAACGACACACAATGGTAGAGTTGAGGCGGCACGTTAATTTTGGAGAGTAAAAAATCATGTAATGCCTTGAACATGCTTTTCTTTTGGTAATAGAGATATCGTGATGATTTTTTTACGAAAATGTGGAGAAAGAATGAAGCGTGTTGCAAAATTAGATGAAAAAACACAACTTTATTTTTACACCCTGTATATAGGAAAAATGTTGACATTTCTCAAAAAAATTAATTTAGTTAATAATTAGAAATACACCTACAATTTGAAAAATAAATCATGGAAACCCAATTAAGGGTTCGAAAGAAATATACTTTTAAAATCTTGGCCCATTTTAGGGGGTGCGTTAATTTTGGAGAGTAGTATACAGGGTGGTCCTTAAGTAATTGTACAAAAAGAAACCGTAGATTCTACACTTTAAAATATTACGATTGAAAGCAAACTGCAAACAGTTAACGAGTTATTAAATAAAATAAATATATCAAGATAATTAATAGTAGCATTTGACAAAATAACAAACTAATTGGATTTTACATCAAACATTTTACGTTTTGTATTAAATTAAAGTCATAGTCAAAACATTTTATTTACACAACAAATTAAGAAATACTTCAACTAAATAACATGAAACTTTTTATCAAATAAGTGTTCGATATGTCCACCATTTTCTTTAATTCCTTTGTCAATACATTCCATAAAAGAATGTCTCATATTAAATAGCATCATTGGTTCTAAAGAAACTGCTGCAGTATTTATTATAAGTATTGTTATATTAAATTTTAGTATAATAATAAGTAATTTTTTGTAACTTTTATGAATTAGATAATTATATTAATATCTCACTACATGACCAATGAATATGACTACCACGAACAATCCAACGTACAGGAAAGTTGTATTTAAATACTGATCTCACACCCCTTTCTCTGTAATGTAATGGTGTACCATCTTGTATAAACCACATATTTCTCCTTAAGTTTGATGACAAAAAATGTAAATAAATCTCAACATTTAAACTACAAGGTAATTCGCATGTCCGTAAAAAATCATTACCGACGGTTCCAAACCATACGACATGCAGACAGGAGAGTGCGAACAGTATTTAAATACAACTTTCCCGAACGTTACATTATTCGTGTTAATCATATTCCTCGGTCAGGTGGTGAGATATTAATATAAATATTTAATTCATAAAAGCCCAAAAGAATACCTATTATTATACTTATTATACTTATAATAACTACTGCAGCAGTTTAGTTGGAATTAATGGTGCTATTTAATATGAGACGATCTTTTATGGAATGTATTAACAAAATGAATTAAACAAAATGGTGGCCATATCGAATGCTTACATTGACAAAGTTTGTAGATATATTAAAAAGCAAAAATATTGACAGTCGTGATCTGAAACTTATATCTAATTTATATTGGAATCAAACTGCCAAGGTAAGAGTTGATAGCCAGTACACCGAAAATATCAAAATACAGAGAGGAGTCCGCCAGGGTTGCGTGCTGTCCCCACTACTTTTCAATGTTTACAGTGAAGCGGTATTTCAAGAAGTGTTCTCAGACTCAATAGAAGGTATATCTATCAATGGAGAAGTATTGACCAACTTACGTTTTGCAGACGATACAGTAATAATTACGGATAACAACAATGATTTACAGAACCTAATGCAACGCCTTAATGAACGCTGTCATGAGTACGGACTGAAGATAAATTTAAAGAAAACTAAATGCATGATCATGACTAAATCTGCACATGCAAATATTCAATTGACTATTGAAGATACTGCAATTGAGAGTGTTAATAACTATAAATACTTAGGAACATGGATAACATCAGATGTAGACCAAACCAAAGAAATTAAGACACGTATTGAAGTAGCACGTACATAATTTATTAAACTTAAAAAGTTTCTTTGTTGTCGGGATATAAGGTTAGAACTACGCCTGAGAATGCTTCGATGTTACGTGTTCTCTACTCTTCTTTATGGTCTGGAAGCTTGGACACTAAAACAAGTTCATCTGAATAAGTTGGCCGCCTTTGAATTTTGGTGTTACAGAAGAATCCTACGAATATCATGGATTCAAAGAATATCAAACATGGAAGTAACTGGAAGGATAGGAAATGAGGCGGAAATAATATTAACTATTAAAAGACGAAAACTTGAGTACTTGGGACATGTGATGAGAGGTCAAAAATACGCATTATTACAACTTATTATGCAAGGCAAATTCCGAGGAAAGCGAAGTGTGGGAAGACGAAGAATATCCTGGCTTAAGAACTTAAGGGAATGGTTTGAATGCAGTAGTGCAGAACTTTTTAGAGCGGCAGTCAACACAGAGTCCGCATAGGGATGATGATTTCCAACCTTCGATAGAAGATGGAACTTAAAGAAGAAGAAGACATTGACAAAAAGTTTAATATTATTTTAATGTAACTATTTTTTAATTTGATTTTGGTTTGTGAATATGTTTTGTGAAATGTTTTTATTATCACTTTAATTTAATATAAAACATAAAATATTTGATGTAAAATCATATTGTTCTGTTATTTTGTCAAACCTGTTATTAATTATTCTGCTAATAAATTTTTTTATTTAATATTTCGTTAACTATTAACTTTATTAAATATATTTTATAACAAAATTCAGAAGTATTGATGGTTTTTATTTTTTTTTTCGTTGCCTGGGGTAATTGCGTTAAATCAGAATTATGCAGTTGATTTGTAAAATGCGATTATCTCGAATACTGTTGAGTTTTAAAGTTATTTCCAGGTATACCTTTTTTTTTGTTAAAATCATGTATTTTTAATATCTTATATCACAAATACCGGTAAGTTGAAGAGTGAAAAAGTTAAGTGCAAATATATGTCACAGATGTGGCGCCCTCTATCCGCTACATCAAAGTATGCATCAAATTATAATTCCTTATGTTCAATAGTACCCAGTTGTAAATTTTTATACATAAATGTTCACAAACTAAAAAGTTATAGCAAAAATTAAAATTTTAAATTTATACTTTAACACCCTGTATCTGTCTTAATATCAACATTTGATTAAAGCAAGCTGGCTTAAATCGTAATATTTTAAAGTGTAGAATCTGAGTTTCCTTTTTGTACAATTACTTAAGGACCACCCTGTATATAGTTATAACAACTTATAATATATTAATCTTTTTCAAAAGATCTAATATTTATAAGGTATATGAGCCCTAAAAGTAGATTATTTACTTCGGTTTTGTTTTCAGGTCATATTAGCTCAATATCGTAGACCAATGAAACAGTCAATAATTGCATATTTAACAGTTTTATTAATTACTGGTTCATCTGGTCTACAATTACTAAAAGAATGGAACTTTCTGACGTTTGATTTTCCGCAACAATTAACCGCTCACAATTTTAAACCAGAAAATACAGTGCCGACTGGTATTGAGATAACGAACGACAGAATATTTATCTCCATTCCGAGGTTAAGATCTGGAGTTCCTGCTACAGTAACTTCCATTCCCATCAATAATCCAAAAGACATAAGTCCTATTCTTCAAGCCTACCCTGATTGGTCTCTACATGGTGCTGGAAGTGGAAACTATAACTGTTCTGGGCTTATATCTGTCTACAGGACTAGAACAGATTCCTGTAATAGACTCTGGGTAAGTTCATTTTTCCTTACGTTTTAGTAATATACTCTAGCATAACAATAGATAACATGCTTAATTAGTGTCAACTTACTGGTGCGACAAACTTGAGAGGATCTCAGTCTTCTCAAGACCCCAGCTCTATAGTGTTATCCTGTGTATACCTTTGTATTCTAGCTTCTACCTTTGTATACTACTGTGTATACTGTATATATCTTTTTCAGTTGGAGTCAGCGATCTTCTGAGTATTTTGTGTGATCTTGTCTATTCACATTATTCTAGGTTTGTCCCTTTGTATATATGTTCTTATATACACTACTTGTGTGGTTGCAATTATTTGTAAATAAATTGATTCGTAACCCTTAATTAGTATGGCGAAAAAAAAGTTTAAGGTATGGCGGGGTCTACCATACCTTAAACCTAAGTTGTATATCCACACCTAATTTAGAACAGTACTCAAAGAAGCATATGTGCCAAGAACCCTAATTTTAGTGCCCACGTTGGTAATCAGATCACTAAAATTTTTATTGATGCCAGCGGATTAAGAAATGGAGACCCTATATCTTCATTTTTGTTTAACGTTATTTTAGAACGGGTCATTAGTCGGGTCCAATAGACACAAGGAGGAATTCCATTGGGTGGCAGAGAATACAAAAAAGCATATGCCAATGAAATAAACATTATTGATGCAAAATAGAACGTATTTAAATAATGTGTCATCGGTTAAAATCATCAGCAGGCCAAATTGTACTGATTTTCAACATAGACAAGACCAAAGACGACACCAGGTCGTCTGTAACAAAAACTTACTGACAAAAGGGACTCCAGCAGCCCAATAGTGTAGAAATACGGAAAATCTTAAAAAATAATAGAGCATAAAAGCATGGTTGGTATGTGAATCCTGTTTCTGCCTGGGAATACACGATCGTCGGACAAGGGTAGGAAGGTGGCGTGGTGACAGAAGTGACCCATAATTTGACAGAGAACGGCATTTTCACCACACCTTATAGTATAAGGTGCTATTACTTACGGTAGCAGATCATCTGTTATTTTTAAAAAAGGCAATATAATATTCTTACGCTATAGTAGGAAATAATAGAGATTAATCATCCAAAACCTAATTTTTTGGCAAGACAATTCCAGACCGCATGTTGCCAGAGAATCGTTAGCCCTCATGGATCAACGGTATGTCAACCAAGTTGACCAATTATTGTAGGTGTTTACCTTTTTTGTTCTCTGCAATACCTGTGATTGTGTATCATTAAAAGAAAACTAACATTTGGTTTGAGAAAAATCAAACGAAACAGATATCCAATAATAAGCAGGTTACATTGCAAAAATACAAGTCGAAAGGTCAAATAGGAAAATGATCTAGTTAAGATTTTAATACAAGCAAAATAGAAGAAGACTCATCACGAGAAGTCACGATGCTGACAGCTGAGACAGGAGTGGAAAAAGTTACAAAAAAACTTTGTTTAATTTTGGACCCAAAAACTAAAGAAGACAAAGGTCATTGGAGTGAGTTTTTTTTTCATTCGATTTACCATGCCAAAAAATAGTATAAACGCCCTTCGTAATAACATCAGTTGTACTCGATTCATACAGCTTTTGAGTAGAAACCACTTCATCAAAATAATTCTTTGATACTTACATACATCTAATAACTTGTATAGTCTACTATTAATAATAAAGTTGCAAAAGATTTTAACCTTTTTCTAAATTCATATATTTGTATTTTAAATTTTAAGGTACTCGACGCTGGAACATTGGACACCATTGAAAACTTCAGAAGAGTTTGTCCTCCTAAAATATTAATATTTGATTTAAAGACTGATCAAGTTGTAAGAACTATTGTTTTTCCTAAAGAAGTTTTGCAAGCAGCCTCTATATTTACCAACCTCATTATAGATGAAAGTATTCAAGGAAAATGTGACTCTGCCTTTGTATATATTAGCGACACTATAGCACCAGGTAAATTTTGTTTTATTTATGGATGATTAAAGTTAAGCCGCCACATTTTAATTAAATAGGTCATGGTCCAATAGGACTGTGGAGCCAGTATTGATGAGCATGACGAAAATTTTATTAGTGACTATGTTAAAACTGTAGTAATTAGTCAGAGGGTAGACTTAGTATGATAGTAAATAAATAACTTAAGGAAAATTATAAGTACATATTAATAAAATGGCTTCAATGCGAAGACCTCCTGTGAATAATTCTTTTGTCTCATTTATTAATTTAGAAATTAGAATTTGTAACTATGTATTAAAGATATATTATTTAAGTTGTTTTGTTGTTATTCAAGCTAATTCTAGAACATGTTTATTCATAGGTATACTATGTTTCTTTCATAATTTCATAATCAATTTCTTCCTAATTTTAAATTTGAAGCAATATTAATTGCTGTCGGCAAATGAGTTATTGTAGAATTTAAAGTTTATTTATTTAACTACTTAACAAATAGAAATATTGCTTATAGTAAGTCAACAAAAAAATACACAGTATATAAAAAAGGAATATAAAACGTAACTTAAATATATCACAACATTAAACAGAAAAACATTTATGGCATAGTTACGATAAGCAGTTCAGTGGATGTTCTGCAATGAGTCATATTATATTCTTCTGATCAGTAAAAACAATTTTTCAGAAGATATATTTTTATAACTTTTTCGAAACTAAAAATTTTATTTCAAATCCTTTATAGAAGGTGTATAATAAAATACCCAAACAAGCTATATCACAATTACATTACATAACGTTTTCGGAATGTTAATTCCATCATCAGTGTAATCAAAGTATACATGCTATGAGCCACTAAAATACCTTGGTAAAAACCCGTTAAATGTTGTTAATATATTATATATATATATATATATATATATATATATATATATATATATATATACAGTGCATTTCAGATAAAACTATCCACCTTAAATAACTTTTGAACCTCTAATTTTTTGGAAAAACACAAAAAGACGTCAATTAATATTTGAAGGGGGAGACGTTATATCATATTTAAGGTTGCTCGGAAATGCACCCTTTCACCCCCTGTATCAACCCTTTATTTTTTTTGTAAATTACTTCCTCCTTTTTTTTTTTTATATTTATATTCTCGCTCGCATTGTTCATGATTTCACTTAAGCTCACTCACGTCACTCGAATATATTTTACAAAGAAAATAATTTATGCATATCTTTAAAATTCTATTTACTGCAGGTAATCCAGGATAAAGAACTTTCATTTCTTCGAAATATCTTTTATAGTTCATTAGTCGAATAATTTGAATTATTATATTTTGTACTTTGAAATATATTAAGCAAACCAATATTATTTTTAATTTTACATAGCATAACAATATATATATATATATATATATATATATATATATATATATATATATATATATATATATGCATGTTATCTAGTTTGAGAATATTCTTTCTACTAAATCAGTTTAATTTTAGGAATCGTAGTTTACGATGGTTCTAGCGACAAAACATGGAGAGTTTCAGACCCGTCAATGTATCCTAATCCAGATTATGCGAATATAAACATAGAGGGAGAACAATTTTCTCTGATGGATGGAATAATAGGATTAGCACATTCACCTCAAGTTGCTACGGTATTTTACCAAGCAGTTGCAACTGATAGGTAATTTTTTCACGAATATATAGGGTGCATCTATTAAATTATACAGTAGTTTTGTGTAAAAATAGTAACTTACGTTACAAGATCGGAATATGGGGTTTTTAGATAGAGTCAAGAAGATTTTAGAGCAAGCCGTAGGTGAGTCCTAGAAGCTCTGGAGAACCCGAAAAACCCTAATTTCCGATCTCTTGACGTAACATATTTTTTTAACATCAACACTGCGATGTAATATTGAGTCTTAAAATAAAATAATTAACATAATCACGATTTTAATGTAAAAAAAAGCCACAATTGAAGGTTAAAGAAAGTATATTTACAAACGCCACGCCGTTCGTATAATTAAGTCATAGCAGTGCTATTGTCTGGTTGGATCAATGTTAACGCGGCGCTGCTACCGCGACAACATTAGCGTTTGTATATCAGGGTCCTTCTGGTTATTTGATTTGTCTCTCTCTAGCAAATAGGAACTACTTATCTTCTCGCTCCTTACCAAAAACAGACGTTGTCGTACTTACTGGATATAAGACAGAGATAAAAAAAAACAACGAAAAAAAAAAGATGTTGCATTTGGTATCTGAGTCCATTCACGAATGTTTTTTAACCAAGAAACTTGTTTTCTTCCTACACCTCTACGGCCCTCTATTTTGCCTTTAAGGGTCAGTTTTAATATTTTATATCGACTTCCCCTTACTATGTGTCCCAGATAAGACATTTTTCGGATGTTTAACAGTCTTTAGCAGTTCTCTGTCTTTGTTGACGCTCCTTAGTACTTCTTCATTAGTTTTTTTTGCTGTCCAAGGTATCTTCAGCATTCGTCTATGAACCCACATTTCCAATGCTTCAATTTTGTTTATGATCATGATGATACTTTTAGCGTCCACACTTCTGCACTATACAAAAGTACAGACCAAACATAACACTTAACCATTCTTTGCCTTAGTTCTAAACTGAGATGGTTATTGCAAAGAAATGACTTCATTTTCATAAAAGTAGTTTTAGTCATTGCTATTCTACGTTTTATTTCTATGTCTGGATCTAGTTGGTCCGTTATCACAGTTTCCAAATATGTCATTTTGTGTTCTCAACTTGGACTCCGTTCAATTGAAGCTTTGCATCGGGATGTGGGTCACGACTAAACACTAAAAATTTGGTTTTGTTTGAGTTTATTTTAATGACGATTTCCTCTTCTACCTCGTGAATACGATCAAGCAGAATTTGAAGACCGTCAATATTATCTGATAGAATTACTGTATCGTCTGCATATCTAATCACATTAAGTAGTTCCCCGTTGATTTTTATTCCATATGGTTGTCTCTCAAGTGCCTTTTTAAATAGCTGGTTCGAGTAAACATTGAACAATGTTGGCCACTAAATACAACCTTGTCTGACTCCTCCTTGTATGGGGATTTAATCGGTGTAGTTATCTCCAATTTTTACGGTAGCAGTTTGATTTCAGTACAAATTTGTAATGATACGAATATCCTTGTCATCTATTCCGATATTGTTGAGTATTTGCATTAATTTTACATGCTGTACTTTATCGAATGCCTTTTCGAAGTCCACAAAACATAGAAATACATCTTTTTTTTGGTCACGGTATTTTTGTAATAGGATGTTTAGCGCAAAAAGTGCCTCCCTGGTTCATATAGCCTTTCTTAAACCAAATTGGGTATCTTCAAGATCTTCTTCGCATTTGCGTCTAATTCTGTTGTAAAGTATTCTGAGAAAAGTTTTAAGAGTGTGTCTCATTAGGTAATTAATCGATATTCTAAGCATTTTCTCGCATTATGTTTTTTAGGTATTGCGATAAAGATGGATTTTATCCAATCTGCGGGAATCACTCCGTGTTGTAGGTATATTGAATTAAAAAGTCTTACTACTACTTTTATGTTATCATTCTCTATTAGTTTCAGTAACTCAGTTGGTGTATCATCTGGACCACAAGCTTTTCTAATTTTAGCATTATTTAAAGCATGTTCTACTTCGCATTGCATAATTTCTGGAAGGTCAGTACAGTTTTGATAGAATTCGACAATATTATTCCTGTCATCTTCAAATAACTCTGATATATACAGTTGCCAATTGCCATTCTTTTCTTATTTCTTGCTCATTTACAACAATTTTGTTATTAGTATCAACAAGTACAGATGAAACTTGTTTTTTAAATATATTACTCATTTCTTTCAATTTTTTATGCAAATTAAATAAGTTGTGTTTAGATATTACATCCTCCATTTCGTCGCATCTTCCTCTCATTCATTTTTCTTTGGCTAATTCGATCTTCTTTTTTATTCTTCTCTGCAGGTGTGTATATTCTGTTACATTAGATTTTATCAGTCGACGTTGTTCCATTAATTTCAAGATGTCGTGTGTCATCCAGTTATTTTTCTTGATCCAGTTTTTTCTATAATCATTGTTTGTGGCGATTTCGTTAACTTGGCTTTTAAATTCACTCCATAGTTTCTCTGGATCTTCTAGTTGTTCTCCGATGTTTTTTATTCTATTGTTTTTATTTTTATTGTATGTTTTACAGCTATTTTAAATCCATATTCAAAAATTCTTTTACCGACTGTAACAACTGTAGAATCAATTACGTTTGTTCCGCGACGTTCAGCTTACGACTAATACCTCGCGGTTTACCGAACGTCAACATTAGTGAGCATCAAAATCTCAAATACAAAGTGAATTTGGTCATACTGTAGCCATAAGCGTCATTTTACTTTTCTATTGTTATAAAAATTATTTGACCTTTATGTAGGCTATACACCTTCCTAAAAGTCAGTTAATTGCAGTTCATTCGCTTTGCAGTATTTTGGATTGTCTTTTAGGATTTATCATTCTATATTCACGAATGTTTGTATGCCACGAATATCTTTTAATATTTTATTTTTGTTTAGTAGCATGATAGTTTGTTAAACTGTTTGTTCGGGCGGTTGGGCAGTTGTCTTCTGAGATTAGTTCTCGACGTTTCGCCAAAAATAGGGGTCGGCATCTTCTGGAGATATTACTGCCTATAAGCTAAAATTGACGCCACATTGTACTACAGAGGTTATATTTATATTTTCTAAGAGTGTTTGCGGATTTTAATATCGGTATCCATGTTTTACTAATTCTTAAGCTGGATTTTCATAGATCCGATATCCGATGACACGAAATACGAATTTTTTTCGTACGAATATATTTGATTGTCGTATCCGAAATTTTTTGACATACATTTCATATATATGTGTTATGTGTCAGATTATCCGATGGATTGATATTTATTTCAGTGCACTGTCAATAAATCTTAGCTGTTTGGTTTAATATAATATATATAATATATATAATAATTATTTAATATATAGTGTAGAAGACCCAAAAGCAACACTTTATTCAGTGCATTTTTATTTAATAATTAGGTATTTGTTCCATTTTAAATATATTTCAAATAGACTTATATAAACACTTTACAAAATAATAAACACTTCACAAAAATAAGGTTAAGATTCAAGTTAAAATGTCAACAATGTCAAAATTCATCCGATTTTCGTGTAAAAGTTAAAATATTTTTAACTTCTTCTGATGACTTTTATTTTCGTATGAAAATCCCACCTGTCATTTTTCAACCAATGAAATTCGCTGAAATTTATATCGTATCATCTTACCTTCGGATATCGGACCTGTGAAAATCCACCTTAAGTCCTTCTTCTATCCGGATAAAATTATTCGGATGCTTATATATTTCCACCGCTTCCCAATATAAACGTGGGTACTACTGTGATGTTTTATTCAGCATCTGCATTTCTTCAAACAGTATACGATATTCTTCGCTTCCCAAAGCATGTTTGGCAACGGTAGATTTGTCGATATGTTCTAAACAATAATGGCTTTTATGTTCGTTTATCCTTGTGTTTGTGTATCTTTTTGTGGTTCCCACATACACCATTCCAGATATGCATGGTATTTAGTATACTCCAGCCCTTGCTAATGGGTCGCGTTTATCTTTTACCGATCTTAAACAGTCTTTGATTTTCTTTGTTGGCTTGAACATGGTCTTTACATTGGCTTTTTTAAGTATTCGGCCAATTCTGTCTGTTACCCCCGATATATGGGGCAAGAACGCTTTGCCTATACATGCTGTTGTTTCGGTCTTTCTTCTAGAAACGTTGTTAATCGCTGTATGTATTTCACTTCTGGTATAACTATTAGAGGTGAGCGCTTTTTCAGTATAAAGAAGTTTACTTTGCAGATGCTGTGGTTCACAAATTTTCTTCACTCTCTCCGCCAGAGTTTTGATGATACCTTGTTTTTGACCTGAACGATGATTTGAGTTCCTGTTTAGGTATATGTCCATGTGTGTAAGTTTTTGATACACTCTTTGTCCTAACTAACCTTCCTTTCAATTTACTAATACATCTAGGAACGCTAGTTGTTGATCTTTTCCTGTTTCCATCGTAAATTTAATATATTAATAATTTGGATATAGTGTCATTGACGTATCTAAACCATACCCTTGGCTCGTATGATGAATCCATTACCCTATTCTCTGTATGCTCCATGAAAAGGTTGGCTATGACCAGGCTTAGTGGGCTTCCTATTGCTACTCCATCTACCTGTTCAAAAATTTGGTTTTCTTATAAAAAGTAGGTGGTAGTGAGGCAAATATGGTATAATTCCACCATATGTTTGGAAACTAGTCCCTAAATTAAATTCAAAAACGCCTTCTAGGAGAACTCTTGTAAATATGGAAACAACATCAAAGCTAACAAGAATGTTAGGTTCCTGTAAATATATTTTTTTAATCTTCTCGGTGAAATGAGCGGTGTCTTTTACAAAGGCATCCTTTTTCCTATCTGGAGTTGTAAAATAAACAAACCGAAAATACAAAATTCTCTATATTCTGCGGTATATAAAAAACTTTCAAAAAAAACAGATCCCACAGCAGTCACCTTAGGAAAAATCAATAGACTTATAAAATCTTCGTCCATACCAGAGAATACAAAGCCAAGACAAGCTTGTATGGCTTACCGAAAATACACAAAGACGATGTACCTCTACGCCTTATTAGGAGTTCCATAGGGTCTCCGTCTTACAGCCTTGCTAAAATCTGGTCGGAACAGTTTAACAAGTTAGATGATAGCCTAAAAGCCTAACACATTTTAGCATAATAGTTCTCTGATTTGAAAATGGACTCCAGTATAAGCTAGAATAATTTTTAAATCTTTCCGATCTGCTTTTCAACAAGTAATATCATTATTGCCTTATTCCGACTAGCAACATCTATTCATCTATTTCGAGCAACATCTATTCGTGAGTAATTTTATTCATTGCAACATACATAATTTGTTGCATACTGCTTTTTTCCTTTATACTTAAAACTACTAATTTAGGTTAGTTTCAGGTAGGATATCTCTTCTCACGATTTTAAATTTTCTTTTGCTTTTAAAACTTTATACTACTTGGGCCATATTCTTACTTGGCTAATTTCCACGGTTTTTTTCAACTTTATTATTATTGAACTATTTTTATTTAAGTACTTATGTTCTGTTTTGTAATTTATAAAATATATTTTACAATTTTAGAATATTTAGTATTCCAACCGCCACATTAACTAAAGGACCTCCAGCTGAATTTGAAGCAATTCCTATAATGGTAGCAGGAAAGAAATCTTCTCAAGGACTTCCCTTGGCGATTAATGAAGATGATAATACTTTGTTCTTTAGTCCAATGACAGAAACGTCTATCGCCGCTTGGAATGTTGTCAATAATAATCAGCAGTAAGTAACTCTTACAATAATTATAGTACACAGTTTTAAATGTTTTTTTAAATGCTTAATTTAAGGACATATTTTGGCATATATTAAATAGTTGTTTCACTTATTATTTTACAACCCGCTCAAATATATATATATATATATATATATATATATATATATATATATATATATATATATATATATAGAGTGTGTATAACGACGCTAAGAATACAATTCTTTGGAGGGTAACTTTCGGGAAAGCGTCAAAACAAGGATCAGCTAGAGATGGTATAAGCCAGCTTGGTGTAGAACTTTATTCTAAATGTGAAATTTTCGGTGATATGTTGTCACCTTCATCAGCACCTAAATGGAAAACCTATTATAGTACAGTGGTGGAAATCAACATTTAAAAACCTACATTGAAAATGTTCAGTTGGTCCTAGTTGTAAAGAACACTGTCACAAATATGTTAAAAATATTAAAAAATACATTTAAAATTTTGAATAAAAACATTACAACACAAACAGGGTAGTTTTTCAAATACAAACACAACAAAAAGTCTAAAATTTACAACCTACAAAAACTGCAAATAGAAAAGAAGAATTAATCTTCTTTTTTGATGACATATTTCTGTCAACATCCGGGTGTCATATGTAACGAGGTTATAATTTTCACTTTTGCACCTCACACACAACCACATGGATACGAAAAGAAAAAGCCCTAGGCAACATAATAAGCAAGGAAATGAAGTCCCCTCTAAAGCACAGGTAGGTAATCTATGCATGTCATGATAAGTTCCCCACATTTTCCAGTTTGTTACTTCTTGTCAAGTCCTGTTGAAGTAGAAAGGAATAAATACAACTTAAGTTTTCAACATCTTTCTTACAGTTCATAGGAGAGCTGCAGTTATGGATGTAGCACATTTCTATGAACTTTCTCTTAAATTGGTTGTCAACCCTCTTTAGTACTTGCACATTTTCATAGTTAGCAGTGTGTCCAGTATTCTTAATATGTTGGCTAAAGGCTGTGCTGGTGGGCTTCCTCACAACATCACTCCTGTGCAAAGCTATTCTTTTTGAGAGTTTCTGGCTGGTTTGACCGACATACACTTCTGAACAGGAACCACATGGAATAGAATACACTACATTGAAGTTATCCAGTTTTTTAACTCTTTCTGTCAGGTGAGTAAAGTATGTCCCTAATCTTTTGTAAACAGAATTTGCTATCACTATGTTGAACTGTCTGAAAAGGTTTGTGATCTGTGGTGATAAACCTTTGATGTAAGGCAATCTCCCATAGAACACTTCTACTGTTTCTCCTTCTAATGTTTGTCTTTGCTGTGTTCTAACTGTTGGCATATCTTGAAATAGCAATTTATTAAGAAGCATCTTAGGGTAGTGATTTTTTCTAAGAATCTCATACAATAACTTGATGTTCTTATTGTAGTTTGAAGGGTGACAAATTCTTTTTATTCTGTTTTTCAGACCTTTGATGATGTTAATCTTCTGTTCGTCTGGATGATACGAGTGAAAAGGCACATATCTACCTGAGAATGTTTTTTTTCTGTACCAATCCAACCTTACTGTATTGTCCTCATGTCTGGTTACATAGGTGTCTAAGAATGGAACACTATTATTTTCTTCTGTTTCAACTGTGAATTGTAGGTGAGTGTTATATGAGTTGAAAATGTCAAGAGTGTAGTTGATTTTGTCTGCACGGACTGCACATATGAGGTCGTCTACATATTGGTAAATGAAGGGGAACTGGAAATCAACTTCTTGAGTACAGTAGTGAAGTAGGGAGTTCATTACAATTTCTGCCAAAGTAGGGGATATAGCTCCACCCATGGGTGCTCCTTTTATTTGGACATAGAATTCATTTTGAAAGTGAAATATGTATTGTTGTATAAAAAGGTAATCAGTTTCAGGAACAAAACTTTGGGAATTGTACAGTTCTGTTCAATAAGATGGTAATTAGTTGTCAGAATAGAAGCTGGCTTATACCATCTCTAGCTGATCCTTGTTTTGACGCTTTCCCGAAAGTTACCCTCCAAAGAATTATATATATATATATATATATATATATATATTATATATATATATATTATATATATAGTCCCAAGATTCCTAAGAGGAACATAGGGCTTCCACAAAGTGTCTCCAGCGAACTCTACTTCTGGCTAGAACTTTGATTTTAAGCCAGGATTTTCCCATTTTTTCCCTTCGTTTAGTACTGTCCTTCACCAAGTTCCCTTAGGTCTGCCTACTTTCCGTCGGCCTTGGGGATTCCAATCCAGCGCTGTCCTGGCAATGTCATTTGGCGGTCTACGGAGTGTGTGGCCCAGCCATCTCCATTTTCTTCGCCTTATTTGCTTTATGACATTTTCTTGTTGCTTTGGTTCCGTGTACTATGGGTGCTGATATCTTCCACGTTTCGCAGCCATACAGTAATACAGCTTTTACATTTATGTTGAAGATTTTTAATTTCATTTTAGTTGGGTAAATCCTGGATTTCCATATGTTGTTAAGCATGTTTTAGGCGTTGCGAGCCTTATTTATTCTTTCATGTACATCACGCTCTGTACCCCCATTACAGTCAATTATGCTGCCCAGATATACAAATTCCGCTACTCTCTCAATTTTCTGGTCGTTGATCATAATAGGTTGGTTGTTTCTGGTACTAAATCGCATTTCTTTGGTTTTGTTGATGTTTATTTCCAGACCAACCTTCTTTGATTCTTCTTGTACTTTGTTTACTTGGAGTTGCATGTCCTGTTTTGTATGTGCTAGGAGGCATATATCATCAGCGTAATCTAGGTCTTCCAGTCTGTTTGTTAATCCCCAGTAAATTCCTCTATTAGAGTTTACCTTTGTTAGTACGGAGTCCAGTACAATGTTAAATAGTATGGGGGATAAAACACAGCCCTGATTTACCCCGTTTAGCATAGCTATTGGGTCAGATGTTATGCCGTTGTGTAGGATTTTGCTTTCTGTGTCACTGTAGAGTTCTTTGATGAGATTTACTATTTTTTCTGGTATTCCTATTTCCTGCAGTGCTTTCCATATGGCCGTATGTGTGAGCGTGTCAAAAGCTCTCTTGAAGTCTACAAAGCACACAAAGAGAGGAGAGTTGAATTCCTGTGACAATTATTCTTAGTGTGTTAATTTGGTCCACGAATGATCTGTTTGGTCTGAAACCGGCTTGTTCCTTCCTCAACATTGGTTCTACACTGTTTGTTAGTCGGTTGTTTATAATTATTACTCGTAATTTATTTATAGTATTCAGAAGTGTGTTCACTAAAATATTCATGCCATCTTTTGACTTGTTCCTGTGGCGTTGTAATATCTTCACCTGTAGCACTTTTTACAATTGGTTGGTGGGTAGTATATCTTTTATTGGCTAGTTGTTTAGTGATATTATATAATTGTCTCATGTTTTGATGTCGGTTCTTCACTGCTGCTGTCTTGGTTAATTCCATAAAACGCTTAATTCCATATAATTTGCTCGTCGATTTTTCACTATAGTGCGTCTTAATGCCCTTTGATCTGCTTCGGTTATTTTACTTTTTCGTACATTTCTAGGTTTTGTGACAATCGAACATTTATTTTGGTATCCTTTGACTATATTTCTTAAACTATACCATGACAATTCCAACATATTCGCTGTTTTCGAATTGGATTTTCCAGAATTAAAAAATCTAATAATAACTGAACAAATTTTCTAATCGATAACTTTACCTTGACCCATTGTACAATCCACAAGGGGCAAAAAGCTTTACAAGACTACAAAATACATTTGACATTAACTGACAATGTCATTGTTTTGATGTCATTTTCCGTAGATACTTCTGTATCATAAAAAATCAACGTACATATGTCAATGAAATAAAAATCCATAAGAGTAATGTTTTTAATAAATATTAATAAAAATGCTATATTAATTAATATGGGAACTTATAAAAACATGCAGAATATAATAATGTAGGATGGTCATATAATAATGTTAAATATATTCTTAATAATGTTTATGGGTTGATTTTATCAAGAGTTCCATATAGTGGACTCCAGGGGTAGTTTACCTCTTGCAGTTGGTTAATTACTTGAACACACTAGATACTTATGATTTCATTTATTAGGTCTCTAAGTATAATACTAGATAGTACTCAGGTGACGTTGACAATATTACCTTCGACCGTTCTCTTGGTTCTACATTAACATAATAACAATAATAATGATCCTAATCCCGTGATTACCAGCCATTTAACTTACGTACTTTTGTTGATATAATATTTTTTGTTATTTGTTTAATTAATACACGTTATTTAATAAGCTTTCGATTACATTGCAAATTTCACTAGGTCAGCGTGCGTTCTCGTTACAACGATATTATTAATGTTATAAACAAACAATCTATTTTTGCAAATGTGTCACGTTATAAAAAAAGATTACTTAGATCTGATGCTTAATTAAATCTCGTTACAAGAGCATAATTTCTCTATATATCTATCAATATAAGGATTTTCACAGCTGTTGCCGCCTTCCTTCTTTCGGCCAACGTCTCCAGTCCTTTCTGTTCTGCCATTCTCCATCTCTAAGGTCTCGTCTTTCCATGGCCTCGTCCACTTCATCCCTCCATGATCCACTTCATCCCTCTTTTTCTCCTTCTTATTGGGCTCCAATCCGAAATCTTTGCTATCCACTTTGTATGATCTGTTCTTCTCACATGTCCATACTAAATTAAACGTTTTTTTTTCGATGTAGCTGAGTATGTCTTGTTCTACTGCCATTCTTTATTTTATCTCCTCATTTCTGATGCGATCTATGTTTGTCACTCTGCAGCTTCTTCTCATGAACTCCATTTTAGTTGCTGTGATTTTGGACCTTTTTCGTTTATGTTTTACCCAATTCTCTGCTCCATAGGTCATTTTACTGCGTACCAAGGTGTTATCAATTCTCTTCTTTGTATTTCTGGTAATCTGTCTATTCCACAGTACCCCGTACATTTGTTTAATAAATATTCTTATCTGTGCTACTCTGCTGGTTATTTCTTGCTCGGTAGTTCCATTTTTTGAGAGTATGAATCCTAAATATTTGAATTTTTCAGTGCCGTTAATTTCCCTATCATCGTCCATTTCCAAGTTTCTCACTGGTTCTTGCTCTGTTGTTAAATGTTCGGTCTTTTTTAGGTTTATTTCTAGTTTATTTTTTGTGTATTCCTTTTCAAATTTTCGAAGCATATAGCACAGATCTTCTTCATCTTGAGCCGTTACCACTTGGTCATCTGCAAAGCTTAATGTGTACAAGAAGTTGTCCCGGATTGGTATTCCCATCCCTTCACATTCCGTTTTCCATGGTTTTATTATTTGTTCAAGGAATATCTTGAATAGTGTCGGAGATGTAGAGCATCCCTGCAATAAGTCTTTTGTGGTCTTAAATTCGTTGGAGTATTTATTGCCGGTTTTAACTCTTGCCTTGTTGTTGTTGTAAAGGTTTTTTTACGGCTTCTATTAACCTCTGAGATATTCTGATTTCCTTCATCGTGTTCTCTGGAAACCGTGTTATATGCCATGTCATATTTTTAAATCTATGAATGCCATGTGTACTGGTCTAGTCTTTGTCATTTTTTTTTCAATTGTTGGAGTGTATATATGTGGTCTATGCAAGATCTTCCTGCCTTGAACCCCGTCTGATCTTCTTCGATTTTATTTGAGATAGATTTTTCCAGTTTTTCTTTTAGTATTTCTCCATATATCCTGCCCATACATGCTATTACACTGATGCCTCTGTAGTTCTCGTATTTGTTCTTATCTCCCTTTTTATGTAGGTTTACGAGGTTTATATGCTTTGGACCATTGATCTGATATTTCGTTCAGGTTTATAATTTGTTTATGGTAATCGGCCTAAACTGCAAATTCCATAGGTGGCCCAACTGATATGGGAAGGGGCTCGTACGCCATAGAACCAAAAATTCTCAATATTTAAGCTAAAAATTATATTAAATATCTTGGCCTTATCATTTACAAAAACTAATGTTGTAACAAAACATGGAATATAACTATACTTTCTAGATCCAACAAAAGCAGTGATTTCCTCAAAATTATAACTAAAGTATGGTGAGTTTTGTGAAAACTCCTAAAAAAGGATTTGTTAGCAATTTCCCATATTAATTTCCCTAATACTTGCGCTCCTAGCCCTCTTACTTATTTATTATATTTACTAGATCCATTTATTTTTAAAACTAAAAGTAAAGAACTTATTTTTACTTGTTAATTTAAATAAAATATTTTTTTCATAATATTAAAGGTTTTTGTTAATTTTTTAGGGTGCTAGTAGCAGATCCTGTGAATCTTCAGTTTGTTTCAGAACTTCGCTGGAAGAATAATGGATATCTTTATGTACTAAGTTCACGTTTCCATAAGTTCTTTAAAAGGACCGTTACTCCAAACGAAACTAATATAAGAATTTTAAGAATACCTTTGAAGCAAACAGTTACCCGTTTTCCAGGATTTAGTCCCAGCTTTTATTTTAAGTGACCAAAATAATATTGTTACGTTAATTTCAATAAAGGACTAAGTTATCAAAATAATTTTTAATCATTCAACAATTTCCGATCTAATTAAATTAATATTAAAGTATTATATTAATAAAATTAATATAATAATAATACCTGTATGTATGTATTGCTCCTAGTTTTTAAGAACTTTTGTGTTGCCAAATATACAGGTCATTAAATTTTTTAAAATAATCGGCATTGGTGGAAAAATTGCAAATATACCTATTGCGCAAATACAAATGATTTTGTGCTCAAATATTAATATGATTTAGTTATATATTTATGAACAATGTCCATTGATCCTGATAAATAAGTTGAAATTTCTATAAATATAAGCAATAAATCATATTCTTACCTACCTGCCAATTACGATACACAAATACCGGTATGCTATTGCGCAAGCTGCCTCTTTCCCTCTCGCACTGTGTGACGTCACGTGCGAAGCAAAGTTTCACATAGAACACTAACGCAATTAAATATACAGGGTGTTTCAAAAAGGTATGTCACAAGTTAAATCACGCATTCCGGGGACAAAAATAAATTGATTGAATCCAACTTACCCTTAGTACAAAAGTTTACACACAATAAGTTACAGCCCTTTGTTAAGTTATAAAATAAAAATTGTTTTTTGCATTATCTGCTAAACTACTTGACATTTTATAATAAAAATGGACACGTTACTTTCTTGTTCTGAAAGCATTTTTCATACAGAAGAAACAACAAAATCAAAGCGCACAGAAAAATTTTAAGGGGGGTGTTTAGCCCTAAATCCCCCCAAACTTTTGAGTAAGTTCAAATCAAATGAATTTTGTGGCATCATTAGTTTAACACATTATTTTAAAAACTTTTTGCCTGTTCTCACCTTTTCGAAAAACTATTTTTTCCTAGTTGGTTATAAAATTACAATTAGTTTCTACGGATACAATAATTACAAACAGTTCCAAAAATAATAGTCAATAATATGAAGCTTTAATTTATTGTGTAAATAAGATTATTATTAAAAATTTTGATGTTACGATGGCCTACACATTTCAGGAAATAGCAGTTATGCATTTAACTTTGGGTAAGTTGGATCAGATTAAATTATGATTTCAATAAACTATCGAGAATAACGTAGGTAAATGTCAAGGAAATAGTTTACTGGAAACGCGTACATTCCAACCGCAAGTTAGTGGCAATAGTGGTTGTCCAATAATGGATGCAACTGATGAAAACATTTTAGAAATCATTGAAGAAGTCACTGGAACAAATAAAAGGTAATACCTGCTCAACTAAATGTTCCTTACGTAAGGGTTTGGAGGCGTTTGACGGATTAGCTGCTTAAACCCTATCCCTTAACAACGGAGTTATTGGTTGAAGATTATCCTAAAAGGATTGGATTTTGCGATTGGTTGTTAATGAAAAACACTTGGAATGTTAATTTTATTAGAAATATTTTGTTTACCGATGAGGCTACCTTCAGTAGAAACGGAATAACAAACCCTCATAACGAGCACATTTGGGCCGACAAAAATTCTTACACCAAAAAAAACTACTCATCACCAAAGGACTTTCAAAGTTAATGTTTGGGCAGGAATTGTAGATAACAATCTAATAGGCTCAGGATTTCTTCTCAATTATTTAAATGGTGATAATTATTTGCAGTTCTCGGCAAGCGATTTACAAGAGTATTTGGAAGAAGTGAATATAACAATAAGGCAAAATATGTGGTTTCTACAAGATGGCGCTCCACCGCATTACAGTAATTAACCCATTTGAGGCCAAAACTTTTATTGTCTTATATTAATGAGATATTTAATTTTTAGGCTTATTAAGGTTGACAGAAATAAAGTATGGAAGAAATTTTGGAATAAATACAATATATTTTTCAAAAAAGTGTGTCCTTTTAAAAGCCCGGTGGCAAAATCACTGATTGTGAATAAAAAATAAATAAAAGTACCAACATTTTAAAACAAAGTTTTTTTATTTTAATTATTTGAACAAATTAAGATAAAAAAAATCTTAAATATCTAATTTGTATGATATTTATTAAAACATTGTTTTGGATGTAGTGCTACATTACATTTATTGCAGCAAAAATTACATTTTTTGTGACAAGCAGCACAACGAGTTTAAGTGTTCTTATAGACAATAAGGTGGTGCATACGATCGTATCTTGAGTGATGATGCAAATTGGCTGAAGGTTTGCTGGGTCCTCTTTTTGTCGTCTTTTTAAAAAGATTCATTGGTTTTTATTGTACGCTACTTGTAGCCAATTTTTCCCGGCAGTCCTTTTCAGATCATCTGTCCATCTCATAGGAGGTCTGCCTCTGGGTCTTTTGTGTTGGTATGGTCTCCAGGTTAAAATTGATCTGTGCCATTTGTTTAGATCGCTCCTAGCTACATGTCCAGCGTATTCCATTTCAGCTTTAATGCTTTTTGCACCACATCGGTGACTTTGGTTTTCTGTCTTATCTATGTGGCTTATTATGGGAAAATACCATTTCTTGCTACGGATGGCTACTCTGTAGTAGCTGATATTTTCATCTGCCTGATCGACGCCACCCATGTTTTCATTATACTGTTTTATAATATTAGGTTGATCAACAAGCACCTTCTTTTTTTTGTTTTTGAGAATACCGTTGTACTTGTGGATAACAATCTAATAGGCTCAGGATTTCTTCTAAACGATACCGAGAATACCGAGAATACCGTTGTACTTGTTTTGTTGAATATATCTGGTTGTGATTGGATATTATGAAAACAACATTATTGTCATTCCATTTGCAAACTACTATTTCACTTTCCTCTGCATAAAATAAAACAGTCTATAAAATACTTGCAAACATTATTAGAAAAAGATTAATAAAAGTAAAAAAAATAAAACTTAGGATTCCATTATGCTACTTATTGTTTTTAAACAAACATCCGATGACTCCCTAAATCAAACGATGTTATATGAGGCATGAGAACATTACAAATACCAGAAAAACGTGTAAGGCTAGTGAGAATGACGATTGGGAACACGGTGAATATGCTAACAATCAAAGGAATCTTTTCAAAACAGTTCACAGTAAATAGAGGTTTACAACAAGGCGATCGGCTATCAACGAATTTATTCAACCTAGTATTAGAATAAATCGTAAGAAGATTAACTATAAGCACGAACAGGACTATTTTCAATAGCACGGAATAGTGAATAGCGTACATGGATGATGTGGTGATACTAGCGAGAACAAAAAACGTGTAGAAAAAGTATTCCAGATATTTGAAGACGAAGCGCAAGATACGGATTAATAATAAATCAAACAAAAACGCAAAATATGGAAATGAGAGGAGACATAACAAATAATAACAAATTTATCAAAATGAAAGGAGCAGAGACTGTCCATAGTTTTAAAAAAATGACAAAATTTGAACACTTAGGAGTAGCCATAACAAACACGGAAATAGAAGAAAAACAGATAGACAAAAGATTAATGAAGGGAAGCAGAGCGATAGGGTCAATAAATTCATAACTGAAAGCAAAAATTGTGTCAAGAACAGCTAAACTGCGAGTATCATCATCATCATCATCATCCAGCCTCTATTTATCACGTCCACTGCTGGACATAGGCCTCCCTTAAACTCCTCCATTCCTCACGATTTTGTGCTCTTTGTTGCCAATTTTTAGTGATACGCCTGATGTCGTCGGCCCAACGTGTAGGTGGTCTTCCTCTACTGCGTTTGTCTGCTCTTGGCCTCCAATTTGTAATTTTGCTCGTCCATCGTGAATCGTGCATTCTCGCTACATGGCCTGCCCAGTTCCATTTTCGTTCCGATATGCGTTCCACAACATCAGTAATACTCGTCCTTCTTCGCAGATCTTCGTTTCTTATTCGGTCCCTCAACGTCACTCCCAGCATATACCGTTCCATTCGTCTCTGTGCCACTCTCAGTTTCGAAGCCGTGGTCTTGGTTAAATTCATAGTTTCCGCCCCATAAGTCATGACCGGTAATACGCATTGGTCAAACACTTTTCTTTTGGGGCTGATTGGTATGTTGGCCCTAAGTGTGTCTCGCAGTTTTCCAAAGCTGCCCATGTTAAAGTAATTCGTCTTTGGATCTCACATGTTTGGTTATCCCTGCTGATTCTTATTTCATGACCCAAATACGTATATTTCTCCACCAGTTCTACCACTTTGTCTTGAATAGTCAAATGGTTATTGGGGACCAAATTTGTCATAAACTTAGTTTTGGTCAAGTTCATTCTCAGGCCCACCTTCGAACATGCAAAATCCAATTCGTTTATCATATCTTTAGCTTCTCCTAAATTATCTGTGATAAGGACAATGTTTTCGCCGTCTATCGTTACTCCTCTGTGGTCCCAATTGATCATCTTAAAGGCATATTCTAATGCCGTTATGAATAATTTCGGCGACAATGTATCTCCTTGCCTTATTCCACGATTTATTTGTATTGGTCGGGTTTTATTGTCTATTTTAACAGTCACAGTGGCATTTTTGTAAATATTATAAATAAGCTCACTATACCTATGGTCAATGCTGCTGTCATTCATGGCTTCTATAAGGCTGTCTAATTCGATCGTGTCGAACGCTTTATGAAAATCTATGAAAGTGAGAACAAGAGGTTTGTTATATTCTATAGATTTTTCAATTAGTGTTTTTACTGTGTGGAGGTGATCAATGGTACCATAATTTGAGCGGAATCCTGCCTGCTCTCTCGGTTGGTAGAAATCTAATTTTTTCTCCAATCTTGATGTCACTACCCTAGTGAAGAGCTTGTATATGTGGTTCAACAGGCTAATAGGTCTATAATTTTCAAGGTCCGTTCTATCTCCTTTTTTATGCAAAAGGATGGTTGTAGCATTGTTCCACTCTTTGGGTACCTCTCTTTGCTGCAAACATAGATTGAATAGTTAAACTGCGAGTATACGAGATAGTAATCAGACCCACAATAATGTATGCCAGTGAAAGTAGAGATCTGAAAAAAGCAAGGTGTTAAGAAAAATCTTTGGAGGAATAAACAGCAGAGATAATATTTAATG